GCGCGGCTCTCTTCCCCTTGGATCTTCAGGGTGGTCGATGGCGGTTGGTCTCTCCACGCAATAAGTATGCTGGATACGGTCCCCGGCCTTTCTACGCAGTAAAGGACCAAATCCCCGGAATTGTCAGCCAACCCACCAGTTCAAGAATCCTGGAGTTTGACAAGGCATTGGTGGCAGAAATTCTCTCCTGCTGGATGCGGCTTCGCGGCTGTCCCCCCACGCTTCAGCAGTGCCTGCGGCAAGTCGCACAGCTTTTCGTATGAAGACCGATGTTTTCCAATCATTCGCATACCACAACTGGGCTCGTGTTGAGGCGTCCCATCACCTGACCTTGGAACGGTTCACCGGTTCGGGGTGTTTCGGTAGCGAAGGACGGAGCCGGATCCGAGTCGAATCGAAACGTGGAGCAGCAAGATAACTGGGTCCGTGGAACCTAAGGAACCCTTGAAGGACCCCAGTTGGCGGGCTCTGCCGTCTCATCAATGGGAAGTCGTGCCCCTGCCTGCCCTGGTCTTCACAATGGAGATCCATTTGAAGGGAAACCCTCACGACGGGTAATCTTTGCTTAGTTGGGTGATTTTTGCGAATGTGATCCCTGCACATGCGGATGGGTGGGCCACCCAGCGATCTGGCAGACTGGACAGGCCTGGCATTCATCGAGAAAACGAGTCCCATTTCTTTTTTTCCATGCTTCGTGGAGCTGCGTGGAGCTGTCAAACGTACGATGCCATGTGTTGGTGCGCAATAACCTGGAGTTCGAATCCCCACTGCAACGATCCTGTCGTCGCCCTTTTGCAATGTAGGCCGGACATGCCGCTCAGCAGATAGATGCCAATCAGCACGTATTTTCGAAAACGGTCGGTGAAAACGCACGGCGAGCATAATATTGTGCGCCATCCGCCGGCATAACGATACGCAGCATCTGAGATACAATGCAAACAGATGAAGGGAGGCTGCAGCCAGTCGATCAAGTCTTCTGAAACATGAGGCGTTCAGGCGAACAGACGCTCCCACGCGATGTTTGTGTGTCTGTTCGGCCGGACTTGTTGACGGAGCTTCTATTTCTGTCGACTTGGTGGAAGGTAAACAACAACAATCAATCAAGCCATGTTGTCGCTGTTGATTAAGGTTTCTGGATGAACGTTCCTGACAGCAACCTGAAGCTTCGGAGGATGCTCTAGAGCCGGTGGACGACGACTAATGTGAAGAACCCCCGGAAGCAGTTCGGAGCCTCTCTCTTGTGGCACAAGGTATTTTTAGGGTTGCATCGTCGAGCGCGATATCCCCTGTCGCTGGTGGACATCCAGGACACTGACGGAGCTGGACCGTGTTGGTATGACAAGGCAGCCTCCACAGCAGCTCGAGCTCCCCTATTTGACCCTTGGGCTTTGACGAGCGGAGGTGGAAGATGCCGCCCGAGAGACAGAACCCAGGCGGGCGTCGTAGACGGGAGACAAAAGTGGTGACATGCAAGTTGACGGCGGTGACTTGGGTCGGAACAATATGCAGCGTCGGACGGGAAGCAAGATCGATTTGTGAACGACAGGCGGTTGTGATCGCGCATGCTGCTGTTGGCGTCTGCAGTGGCGCGCGATGCGATTCAAAATGCAGCTGCCGCGAGGGCCGCTGCGTCGGCGAGGCGAGCAGGCTGAGGGGATTCGGACGTGGTCCATAGAGACATCAGTGACGCCTTATGCTGTTTGCTCAACTTGACCGCAGCAGCAGGGCCAATCAGGCTGGAGAAGCGGCCGGGATGGGCGGACACACAGGCAAGCAATTTGGGGCCGTCAGTCGGCCAGGACGACGACTCGATTGGCATGATCGTCCTGTCCGTTCTGCAGGTGGGCATGTGCTCGGGCGCACAGGGCAGCGGGAGGGCATTGTGCAGTGCGCTTGTGCCTGCGGCTGGTGGATGTGATTGATTGACGGATTGATGATTGGTACTCCGCCGTGACGAAGACGGGTGCCGGGATCGCTCGGTGGCTGAGGCTCTGGAAGATTGGTCGAACTGTTCCAGCAAGATGACAGGAACTTGAAGATCCAAGGCGGTGTCCGGGGAGTATGATAGGCAGTATGAGGTTTAGCAGTTAGATTGGCCTTCCCCTGAGACGTCGTAGAAGATCCATGGACGTCTTCTCGACTCGGGGCTCGGTCCCCAGATCCTAATCATTATCGGCCCTTGTGTGTGTCAACGCGCAGCCCGTGGCGTCCAATCTCTGGACAGGTTTTACAGAATATCTGACCGGCCGATCTATTCCTTTCCTCAACGACGACAACGGCGGCGAGGTGGGAAGAAGATGCTCCTTCGAGTGCCCTTTGCCTTTCTTTCGTGGAGACCAGGGAACAAGGGTGGAGAGATTGAGAGAGGCAGCCTTGGGCGGGGGCTAGAGAGCTTGAGAACTCGGGCTGGCCCAAATTCGAAACGGCACTGAACAGTCGGTCAGTTCTGTGCGGTGAACCGGAAGCCAGCCGCGATTGACCGGTTGACGATGGCTGGAGGGAAGGATGTGCGTGGTGTGCACGCGCGTGCGTGAGGTATGTGTGTTTGTGTAGCGGAGACTCGCCCGTCTGTCAAGCAAGCTGGACAAGACGACAGGATAGCAGTTAGGGTCGAGTCCAGGCCAGGGCGGGGCGAGGGTTTGGCAAGGTCAGGGTCAAGGTGCAAGTACATACGAGTGCGAGCGAGCATCTCGTTCTTGGTAGGTATTCGTACATGGCGTCGAGAGTGTAGTTGCCGTGGATAGTTGTCCAGGGCCGGGACCGGGACCGGGACCAGGAGCAGGATGAGGAGTAGATTCTGGCCGCATGTGCATCATGTTTGCTGCGTCGGTCTATCACATCTCATATCGGGGGAGACGATGTTGTTGGCGGATATTCGCAGCAGTTGTCAAGTCCAAGTCTCTGGCACCGGCACCGGTGAAGGGCAGGAGGGAGGGGCGGGTGTGGAGGGCCAGCAAATGGGAGGCTTGGATCGGAAAAGGCTTCTCCGCCGCATCTCTTTGCTGGGGCGGCAGGGCCAATGGGAAGAGCCGACTGGCGGGAGTTGTCTCCCACTTCAGACCGATAGGCAGGCGTGAGGCTGCAGCATGTCCAGGGCAGAAGCTCTTCTTTCCATGGATGCATAAGGAGCTGGCACTTTGCTCTCGCTTGTGGCTTGCAGGCAAACGATTCAATCAATCCAATTCAAGTCAAGACAAATGCACAGTGGAGTTGGTCTGCTTACGCTGCTCCGTGCATGCCCATGCCATGCCTTGAGTAGCTAGGTAGTTGTTTATTTCTTTCTATTTTCCCCCCTTGGCGTGATAACTGACGCCCTCGTCACTTCAGAGAGCAGTGGCCAGAGAGACATTATCCGTAGCTGTTGCCTTAATATTCTGCAGTAGGTAAGGTAAGGGACTTTGGCGAGGTGGAAGGTGACTGACTGACCAATCACAGCAAGTCTCGTCAGTTGCTCCGACGGCACTTCAAGTAAGATTGCGCTTCTATTTTCTCCCCCTATCCGCCGCCGCAAAGCCATCGGGAGACGCCCGGGTGCCAAGTGACGTCTGGCGCGGGCCCCATGACGGACGACAGACGGCGTGCGGGACTCTCCAGGCTTGATCGCATCCCAGCTGTGTCAGGCTGCTGGGGCCGCTGTCGTTGGCTTCGTTGGCTTCGCGGGCGGTCCAGCCCATGCCCATGGAGGGAAATGCGAAGATTGAGGGCATCGCCAGACTGGTGCTAGCCTCGTCGACCTTGTCTGCTTGTGTCTTGGTTGATTCCAGTCTTGGGAATTGGGGGAGTCTGGCTATTTTTGGGCGGGGCAGGAGGAAAGAGCAACGAGGAAAGGCGGCTGGGCGGTGTCGTTGTTAGTGATGGTGGAAGCGTTTTGGCAGGTACAGGTGCGACAATAGCAGCAAGTGCAGACCACACCTTCCTTTAGTTGTAGCCAGTCTTGGAAGGACTAGATAGTTGCAGAGACACTTGGTGGCTCTTTCCCCTTCAATTTGCGCATCTCCGTACACGCCCAGAAAGCCCAACATTAGGTACCTACCTTGCCTAGGTACCTAAGGTGAGGTAAGGTAACAGCAACACTTTCATTGTAAGGTGCGTCGTCAACAAAAATCTTGCCCGCATATCCACCTCACCCAATCGCGCTACCGACCACCAACCAACCTTGCTCATCGGGACGCACATCTGGGGTTGATGCCCGTCGCAGTCCTCGACGGACGGGTGCAGATGCCATCTAATCACCTCGCATTTCGATCTGGTTTGAGCTGCATCTAATTACCACGCGGCATGTCTCTGACCGTCTGTCTGGCTTCCTGACTGGCTGCTGTATGCACCGTTTGCCAGATGCCAACCACCAACTAACCGGTCAGTGGGCAAGAGACAGTTGCAGTGCAGCAACTTGCCTTTGCGTCTGTCTTGCCTGTCTACATTGACAATACCTTAGGTTACCTATTATGCTGCTCGGCCTTGACCTCGGGCACACAGGCGCCAGCACGAGGCCGGGCTCGAGCATTGCATCGCAGCGTATCAAAGCACCCGCGTCCCTACCTTACCTACACCTATCACGCACCACACATCACGCATCTCGCATCACGCATCACGCATCATCACCCAACCCTTGCCAGTTCACTCAATCACCCCCAAGCAAGCCACAAGCCCCATGCCCACGGCTGACCCGGTGGCGATGGCGACGGCGATGGCGACGGCGATGGCCCTGGGGATGTGACGGATTGGCGACGGCCACCGCTACAGCGACCTTCCGATGCAGATGGCCACCGGTACAGTGCACCCCCGAGATCGATACAGACCCATGGCTGTGAGATCTAGGAAGGCAACCAAGTCGCAGCCTCCCGTCCAGCCCATCATCAACGGAAGCTTTCGGTAGCCAATCCCAGTCAACCATGGCAAACATTATCTTGTCTCCTTCCGAACGCCATAGACTTCAACCGCTATTCCCTCCCGATAGCAAGAGTCTGATTGGAGGACCAGACACTCTCGGTACCAGCCATCTAGCCAGCAGCAGCCCACCGGTGCAAGTCGAAGACCAACTGCGAGGCCAAGTATCTACGTACCCGCCACCATCACCGTCGTCAGTCATATGCACATCACCAGGCAGACTTCCGGACCCGCCCCGGTCTGTTGTGTACATACTCCAGACCAGGGTCGACAGACTTGTACGTACTCACTTGGGCTGCACACTTGGGCCACGCGCAAGCAGCAAACCTTCTCTGGCCTCGGGGCTGGAGACTTGGGACAGACCAAAGATCGACTGTCTAGCACAGATCCCGCGCGGACGTGCTCTGTTACTCGGAACTCTGCTGCGCTTGACTTCTTCGCCTGAAGACTCGCCGTGTTAGCCGCCAGCATGGCCCCAGGTGCCCTACGGTGCGCTGTCAGACCAGCCTTGGCTTCCCTCCGGCTCCAAACTAAGAGTCGAGAGGTAGAAAAAAAACTGCTATGCACAAGAACGCCACGATACAACTGCAAGACCAACCGTTGATTGGTAGCGTCCTCAGCTTGTCCCGACACACGGACTGGTGACCTGGTAGCAAGGGCCGCTCTCAGCACTGGAAGAGGCCGTCGTACTGCCGGAGGAATCGGTACCTGCAGTGGCTCGACAGTCCGGCTGATTGCTACCTGCCTACCTACCACCCTACCTACCTGAGCGTTCTGGCCAGCCCATTGTCATGCTGGCTGTTGCTAAGCTGCAGGCGGTCCAGCGCAGCAGAGCCTAGCGACTGGTAACCCGAATGACGCGAGTTGGTTCAAGGTTTGCAGATGTGACAAGATCGGCTTCGCACTGCTCTCCTACCTCACCTTACTTTATCAAACAAAACAACATTGACAAGGGGGAGGCCTCGATGGGAGTCCACAACGCCGCCTGGACCAGAAAGCGGTCGGGCTGCAGCATTTTCGACAGCAGCAGCATTCCGTCAGCCAGTCAGCGGCCACCGTACTCGAGGCTACTGGTAATCGAAACTGTCGACCCAAAGCGAGGGCACCAGCGTACGTGCAGTCGCTGCACGCTGTGCCTTTGGCGTGTCCCAGGAGCGGTTTCCAACTACGGGGTACCATAGTAGCTGCGACGTCCCAAATCAACGAGCAAAAGAAGACGCCCTCTCCTTGCTACCACGCACTCACACCAGCAAACCTCAGATGTCAAACTCGCGATACCACCGTGGCCCCTGGCGGGTCCTCCATCAGTCAGCACCCGGGCTTCCGTCTCTCCTTGTCTCCCACCCACCCTCCTTTGTGTGATGTGTGATGTGCACGCCGTTCCACGGAACCCCAACTCAACTTTCTTGGGGCGCAGCAACTTGAGGCGAGACTTGACAAGGAGCCCATCATGACAGATCCTGAGGAGCCAATCGCAATCAAGGCTGGCGTTTGACAACCTGAGCAATCCCATCTTGGTTCCGATCGACCTCAGATCAACCGTACCGTATACTGCCCCGAGCGACCAATCGCAATTATCGTTTCCCTAGATCTCGTCACGAACCTTCCAGTCTTTGGACCTGTCATGCACACACCTTGACCTGTTTCTGGGACCTGTCAAAGAATGGCGAGCAGAAGAATTATCGTGGGACCCCGGACAATGCTTTTCGAGGCAAGGATTCGCCACGGCCACCAGGGCAAAACATTGATGCTACTCGGAACATGCCACTTCCTTTCAGCCACAGGCCCAATCAATTGTGGTGCCGACCGGGGGCCACAGGATCACCGCGGTAGATCTGCGTTTTTGACAGCTCTCCCTCGCGCGGGCGGCTTCGGCTCCGGAGCGCGCTTGCCTGTGTTCCCTTGCGACGGACAACGAGAGAAGAGGCACTCGGCCCCTCCCTGGAACTCCCTGGAGTTGAGGCTTGCCTGTTAGGGCGCGCCTCCCATCTCCCCTCATTAGCCATGATTCCCCAAAATAAGCACGTCTACCAAAAGTTGAAACGGTAGTCAGCAAAGTCATGGCTTGAATGCCCTTAGTTCAGGCGACTGACTCGGCGGTTCTTCCGGCCGTGAAAGACTGCTGCTCGTTGACGAGATGGCTGTCGAATAAAGCATCCCGCCATCTCGGGAGCTGACAAAAAACGGGAGCCGCATGACATCGGGTACCTCGATGCTTTGCGGGGATGGAAGGGTGTTGGCGGGAAAGGGGAGGGACGAGGGGACGAAGGTTACATATGTCAAAGTTTGATCATCACCAATCGCAGAGCAGCAACTCTGCTCAAATGGACACCAGCCTTCATTTTGAATCAAGGCCTGCAAACACTTCCAGATAAGGCAAATGTCAGAACGATCCGATAACCAGACGTATGGCCCGTCAATGGTGGGAGCCGCAACGCACCGCATGCATCGCGCGCAACTCAACTCGTGTTCCAAAACACTCGGACGGAAGAAAAGCATCCAATGATGGTTGACGTTTCAGTCTACATCGATTGTCCTTGGGTCGAAGTGCCATGCCCTTTTTTTGTCGTCGTTGACAAGCACAGCCTCCGCCATCGAAGGTCGTGGTCGAAGCCTCAGAAGGACGTTCGACGCCTAGGAGGAGCAACCAACCAGCCAACCCTCGGACTCTGTATGGTTAGGAGGTTGTTGTTTTGAGCACGTCACAGATGTCAGCTGCAACCGGGCGACTGACGGGTGGCTTGAGAGGCGACAAGAGGAAGACGACAAGCAGAAGCAGAAAAAAAGGAAGAATGCCATTACTCTCCCAGTTTCTTGTCAGAAACAGAGTTGTTCGGCTCCGGTTCTTCAACCCAAGGCTTGGGACGGACGTCTGAATCGCGTTGTCTGCTCTCTCACTCGTCAGCGGTCTCGCGCGGCAATGTCAAATACTTGCAGGCCTGTAACGCTCGCGGACCTTATTCAGGTACTGACTGCACAAATCACGATACCTGAACAGCATTAGAATTGGGCTGAAGGGGGTGGGCGTGTCAGCGGCGGATGGCATAGCCGCTCTAGCGCACAACTCAACTCTGCTCTATTCGTACTTCTTCCCATCCAGGAGACTTCCGGACCCGCCTTGTTGTTTTGGGATGGCTGATGGACATCATTCGGGGGTGTGTGGATGGGATCGATGGCAGACAGGCAGGGGAGCGCCGTCACGTCAGGGCTGCCCTGGCTGGCCTTGCTGGCCCCCAGTCGCCCAGGTCCTGGCCTGGCTCTCACCCATCCGCCTAAACGTCGTCCGTCCATCCATCTACGTTATCCACGGGCACACGCCGTACACACCATACACACACATGCACACACTCTCTCACTTGCTCTCTTTCTCACACACACTCATACATTGGCGTACGGGCTCGAACCGGAACTTGAACAACCAGCAGCAAAAGCTGCACCCATTGCACTGACTGTAACACACCATCGGGCTATCTCTTAACTGGGGGTCCCGTTCCTGTCAACATGCCTCCAAGTCATGACATATTCGACGTACGCCCTATCAAGGTTGTCTCACTCCCTGACCATGTGCACGAAGAAGAAAACAACAGGGATTTGCAGAATCAACGGCGCCTCACCGAAGGCGAGCACGAGCGATGGATGCACTGCGTAAACATAGAAGGGGAAGAGAACGATGGCAGAATCGAACGCCCGAGAGCAATCCTAGGCATCATGGCTGGCTGGTGATCAGCTTCCCGAAGCCGCCACGTCCAGGGGTCACGGACGTCGAATCGGCCCAGTATGAACTTCAGGATAATTCAGGACTCTGCAAGCGTCTTCGAAAATAGATTTTTGAGCTCACGCGGAAGCCCGTCAAGGGCCTGAAGATTCGAGGGCGCCATCGTGGAAGGATAGGCATTCTGCCGGGCGACTGCATCGTGTTGCTGAAGATTCATCAAGGACTGAACCTGTTCGGTTTCCTGTTCGGAACGAACCCATACGGGCTTCGTTCTTGGATGCAATATGCCATGAATCCATCCCATATTGACCACATCTCCGGCTTCCCATGTCGCGGCGGCCAATACACTGCTTCTATGGGGCTCCCGTTGGGGAAATGACGGTCGAGTATCTGTACGGACACTGGCCTCTCTGTGGCCGACACCGTTACGTTGGGGGACTCGACGTGTGAACAAGGCCGCCAAGCCCGTCTGCCGTCAATTATTGTTTTTATGTCGGGTTGCACATCTTTATTTTGTCTGCTCCCTCTTGGTTGTCCTGTTTGCATATTTGACAATCCGTCAGTAGCCTAGTAGACCTTTTGGCGGCCAGAGCGTTGCAAAGGCTTGGCTTGGAAGGGTGAGATAACTTGACGCCAGCGCGCCAGTTGCATATGTAATGGCACGTTGGATAGTCAGTCGTTGGAGTAATGCAGCAGCGCCATTGAACATCTCCATACCCGCCGGCGCCCCCCTTCGGGCAATTTCATCTACATCACAACCGTCCTGGCCCGGGAGCAAGCCATCAGCAGCCCGGGGTGTAGTGTACAAAATGACCCCTGCCCACGGACACACAGCGGTTCCCTAGTGGCCCTTTTTCGTGTCACTGTTAGGCAGGCTAGTGCTTCTCCCATCTTTCCACTCTGCTTCTCGCATCCTGGTCGGCCTCGTCGAACAGACCCCTAATCCATGCCCCCCCCCTCCCCCCCGTGGTGCTGGACACATCCCAGTACCACCACGAGCCTAGCATATCAGTCCGTTGTCCGCCAGAGGCAGAGGGGGGGGGGGACGCCACTTGGGAGGTACCATCAGCATCCCAGGAGCAGGCCCAGGTGGATGTGGGTACGGACGGCGTGGTCCTGCAACCCTGGTCGAGATGGGCAATCCTCCTCTTGTTCCTCATCGACGGCTGCTTGTACCCTGATCGTCCTCCTCGCCATGCCACCCATGCCCATGCCTCGCAGCTCTGGGCTAGTTCAGGTTTAGTCTCTTCCGTCAAAACCGTCCTCCCTCCCCCACATCAGCAAAGGCTCGTTCCCAGATACATAGGTCAAGTAGCAAGGCATTAAGCATCCGTGGGCTGTGCGCTGCTGCTGCTGCTTCTTCTCCAAGTTCACACAGCTCTCACAACTCCCTTCCACGGTCCGATTCACTCAAGAACCTACTAGTTGGGGGGCTCTTTCGTCTGAGGCTGGTTCGTGTCAGTTTCAGTGTGTTCAAATCACCGTCTTAATTTGTCCAATTTGGCTCTTCGCCGGGTCCTCCTCCTCGACACTTCTCTCCCATTTCCTATTTTGGCACCACATCTGTGCGCCTCCCACCGTTAATCCACCTTCCACCAACCTACCACGCTACCTTACCTTACCTTGCCATACGCCTGCCTGCCTACCTACCTACCTTACTCTACACACCTACATACATACACACCTCTACTACACACAACACCGATACCTCCCCCAGACTCAAAGATATACAAAAGGACTGCCATCCCACCTTGCA